GTAAAAAATACTTTTCTCAGGGTTAGAAAACAGTCTGTCATTGTTCAGTGCAATTGTTGGTACTTCATTTGAGACATTATTAAATTCTTCGCCCATAATGTGGTGGTTTTTTTCTTCTCGCTTTGATGAGTATTAAAGCAAATAAGGTGATTTCATGTAGTCAAGAATCAGGGCATAGTAGAAAAAAAGGTCTTTTTGAGAATATTCATCTGGGGAAGATGACTGATTTTTGAAATTTAAATTGTCTTTGCTTTTGAGGGTTAAGATAGGATTTGTAAAGAAATTTACTTGAAATTTCAAGTGAATAGGAAGACATCTCATAGTTTAATAATGCAAATATAAGACAAAATTTGAATTTTGAGATCAGACCTCTGTACATGTGGCCATGTAAAGTGCTAGGGAAAAGTGACAAAACTTTCAAAAGGAACTTCCTAATCTTCTAGCGTGAGTGAAGCAGTTGCAAGATAGCTTTACACCTCCCACTCAGAGCTTCAAGGTGACTGTTCACCTGTCACCTCCAGTTGCCCTTTTGTTTGCTTGTGTGTGGCACTGGCAGACAGCAGACAACAGTTCCACTGATCTGCTGTCACAGTTAATGTAATCAGTAGCTACTGTGACTTCTCTGTACCTATGGAGTAATGCAGACACATAATGGCTCCAATAATCAAATGTCTCCTTTAAAAAGATGCATCTGAAAATTCTCAGCACTCTATCCTGAGAATTTTCCAATAACATGCTATCTTTTAAGAACTTCACATCAGATCTCAACACTGTTATCCAAATGTGTGACAGTGTTCTTTAAATATGTGGTAAAAAGCCACAGACAAGAAACAGTAATTTTATTTATTTATTTATTTTAATGCTGGATAATTTTTTTCTAGTAGAAAATTGTCTGTAATGTCATACAGGATTCAGCATTCTTAGATTTGGTGCAGAAGAAACACAGATTTTGTGTTACTTTGGGCTTGTTGTGCTACATCTAATGGTTAAAACAGGACTTTCTACACATGATTTAGTCTGCCTGGGTTGAAGGTTGCTTTAAAGAACTGTTGTGCCATGGCTAGTGCAGAAGGACCTGACACTTTCCTTTAGCAAGTGCTGTAAGAGTAATAAAACCAACCTAATGCATGTGCTCTTAGCATTATTGGGATTTTTGTTAATGTTTCCTCTGTAAGAAAATTTTGAGTGTCTTTTTGCTTACATTATACCTTGAGGTATTACAATGACTCAGATGTTTTTCTAGGCCTTCCCATAGTTTCATTCTGTTTAAGTAACTTAATCTGTCTCTGTCTACTGGTTTGGTTCCTAACATGCAAAACTGGGACATTTGTTATGTTCTTGTGAGGTATATTCCATGACTGTGGTAAGATTTTACGGTAGTGCTGTAGAAATGCCTGAATTTTGTATGTCTCTGCGTATATAGCATTTCTCCATCCATCATCATACTATTTACAGATAATGTTTTTCTACCCCTACTACTGTAGTAGGTATATGAAGCTCTCTGGAAGTACACATCATAACTCTTATGGTGCATTTGTAGTGGATCTCCTACTTCATCCTAATGGTGAAAGGATGCGTGACAAGAGCTGAAATGCAGGCAGACATTACTCTGTGAGCACAGCCTCTCTCCCATGACTTCAGACATGCCAAATCACAGTCCTTGAGGCTCTCCTTTAAACACCAACACAATTTATTTGTTTCACTACAGATCCCAGTGTTTTCTGGCAATTATTCTCTGTTTTCACGTTGTAGTTATTAAGGTAATAAAGAGTTTTAAAACCTCTAGTAAATGCTGCAAAATATTTATTTTTACAAAAAGAAACTCTGGTTTCTCTCTGTCTCCTTCTACAGTGAAATTTTTAGCCCTTCTGTCTAGGATTTGTGGTATATTTGTAGCCTTTTAAGAACAAGCACCATTTAGGGCCTTTTGGTATTCTTTTGCCTATACATGTGTAAATAATTGACTATCATGTGGAAGGAGTTGCACATGCAGATAGGTACCCATCCAATTTTATGTATTTATAATCAAATTCATAATACAAAATGAAAATAATTTTATTTTAAATATGAAAGAATTATTTTAAATGTGTTCAAGGGAAACTTAATCCATATCCATATGTATGTGTTTGCAGGAAATAAATTATGCTTTTCGCAACCTAGTGGTAGTTGTTAACTCATAGGAATTGCTGCATTTCAGCTGTATGTTTTCTAACAGAAGCAGAACTATCTTGTACTTGCAACTTCAAAATGTAGGTCATTGTGTTGGTAAATGTAGGTCAGAGTGAAGGGGAAGAAGACGGAATGCAAAGTCCTCCACATGGGTCTTTAAGCTTATCCCTGTTTTGAAGGTAAAGAGGCTTACCTACCTGTTCAAGCACGAGAAGCTTTTCCTTTTACTAAAATTAACACAGGTATTCTGGCTTCTTGGCTTAGCTGGAAGCACTGTGTGTTTCCACACTTGAGACCTGTGTTCATGAAAGACCTCCTGACTCCTGCTTCTTTAACTGCCAGTCACTTACATCATTGCTGAGATGATACTTCCTTCCCTATGGGGGAAAGGAGCAGGGAGGAGAGTCCTGTGCATCACTAGCATCTGCCTAAAGAAGAACATTGTCTTTCCAAAGGTGCTTTACCCTTCTCTCAGCACAGAGCTATCTGATACACCTGCAGTTTCAGCTGGTATCAACATTGTAATAGTAGCAGGGGAAAGAATGGTGACCCCTCATAAAAGATTTAGTGACACCATTCGAAGTGCCCTTTAAATAATAACTGTAGAAAAGTGAGAGACATTTGACTGAGGGTACTGAAAAGTCAGATGTTGAAGGATTTTGCTACAGTTGACAAGTATTTTTAAAACTTGTTCAGGCTTAAAGTTTACTATAAAAGGTTGAGGTTTTTTGTGGGTGGGTTTGTTTTTTTTTTGTAAAGCGAGATACAAGTATTATAAATGATATTAAATTAGCCATGTCTTCACTAAATAAGAAAAAAGCACTTTTATTGCTTGAGACTACACCAGTCACTGCAAACTGGAACATTCTTTATGTTATACTCTAAAATATTTAAACAGTTATTACATTTATTGCAAAATCTGTCATTTTAGCATATTTCAATGCTCAAAAGCATTGAAATGCTGAAAAAGGGAGATGGAAAACCCAGTACAATTCTTAGTGTATGTATCACTGAAGAATGGGTAGTCTTGTGTGAATATTTTGGTTTAACCCTTGGCAAGTCTAAGCAAAATGGCACATTCACAAACACCTAATCAGCCTAAACTGTCATAAATTGGACAAATACCAATATTGCTTTAGTGTTTTTGTCAGGTATACTCTATTCTTTTACCTTTAAGGTCTTTGTTACACGAAAGTTATATACAAAATTTTGACCAAATCCTGTCCGTGCTTTTGCTTGATCTGTGTGCAGGCAACACATGCATAAATTTTCATTATTTATCACTGTGAGTATGGATAGTTTAGAATACTTGCTGGATAGAAAGGAAGAATTTTATGTTCAGTGGTTACAGTCAGGCTTTAAGTGATTTAAAAGGAAAATAGTTTTTCTCCCAAACTTCTGCTTTTGTTAACTATTTTGAGATGTTTTTAAAGTCTTGAGAATAAAAAATTATAAAAAAAGGATGCACATACATAGTAAGCTGCATGGAATTCAGTTTACCTGCTTAGAAATATCTAAAGGATGCTCTCACATGTTTTTAAGAAAACTGTCTGTAGTTCATAATACCAAGTTTCTGTCATGTTCATTCAGAAGGCTGTGTGTTGGGGGGGGGGGGGGGGGGGGGGGGCTACCCCTGCTTTTTACCTGTGGATAGACATGTAAGCATGTTATTTCATTGCTAGGCAACAACAGATTGAAAGCCCATAGAACCATAATTTGGCTGCATTTGCCTTTCTTTCATCCTCCCTTAACTTTGGAAACCTAACTCAAGTGCCTGAATACAAATCTGTTTTCCCCAGTCTCCCTCCAGCAATGGAGACTGGTGCCTGCAGGAGATGTGCAGACCATGCAGGATCTGTGATGCCCTCTATATGGGCCACAGCACTTCACTTAGATGTTCAAGTGGGAAACTGGTCTGATGAAACAGTGAATTTCATGAATGAATGGTGTTGAAATGGTGAGTTTGTGTGGATGCCTCTAAGTCAGTGACCAGTGCCTCCAAGTACTTGCCAAGGTTCACAATGGCCAGTGTAAGTTTTATGATGGAAGTTTATAAAGTCATGAATAATACAGATTATTCACGGGGGACAC